CTGAATTCCTTGCTACCTTTTGACAGTTTCAACTTGTTTTGTTAAGGTGAGTCATATTCCTCTGTATGGGGTCAGAAAGGGTTTAAGAGGGTCTTGTTTAGGGATAGGAATAGTCCCTTTGGGTCTGACAGAATTATACAGATTTATTGAATGAATAAAAAGATAAAATAATAAAAAGGGGGAAACTGAATCTGGTCCCTGTCATGTTTACAAGATCAGGAGGAAATGTCCTAAAAATAATCTTTCATTTTGTTTGTCATGACATGCTGGATCTCTCTTTGCCTTGACTTTGGCTTCCTGTAGGATAACATTAAATAACCAAGGACAACATTAGATAATAAGCAAAGCTTGGATCTCATGTAGCATCATCGTGTTCTTAAATGACTATGGAAATTCTCAGTCATCAGGTCATGGTTGTCCCAAAGGAGCTTTTTCAAAAGGCAACTGGACTTTGTTTTTCCTTGAAGACGTTTCCTTCTCATCCAGGAAACTTCTTCAGTTCTGACTGGATGGTGGTAAATTGAAAGTTTTATATTCCTTGCAGTCATCTGGTTATTAGCATTCTTTCTGAGAGTCGTTGAGGCCACATGGAGGTTTATGAGGTTAAAGCATCTGCCTCTTTCTGGGATAGGTTGGAGCCCTCTGCAGAGTTATTTTGAACCTGAGAAAAGACACATTTGGTTTATGAGTTTACAAAGAGATGGGATATGAGCACTATAGCATGCTCCAAGCAATATTTTTGTCCTCAAAGTGCTGCATAAACTTATCAAATAATATCCTCTGACAGACATGAGGGTGCTGGCTTTTTAAAACATAAATTTTATTAAAACACTAACTTAAGTAAACTCTTCAAGGTCTATAAATATTTATCGATACTGGAAGAATCAGACTGAGAAAGTATGACATGTCACCAATGTAAAAGATAGGCGAAAGGAATTTTTTTGTGCTACAGATTTTTCTATGATTGATAGATAAATGGCTAGATAAAGAAGTGTTGCTCACAACATTTTAACAATGAGATAAATATAAAAATTCTAGGATTCTTAAGCCAACTCCATTGTTTACTTATATTTTTGTAGTAATTATTTCTTCTAATGAATGCATATCAAACAATGATGCTCCTACTATAGCGATGATTCATAGCAATTTGATTAGCCAGCCCCGATGAGTCAGCCACAGCCATTTTGAGCCACTGGTATATTTTTATCAACTTTTCTTTTCAGATTAGTGTTTTTATAATGATTGCAGGCAATTAAAGAACCTTAAATTAAGACAACAACAAAGCTGGATGAGGGTTTCAACCCTTTGGAGGGAAAGACGATATCTTTTCCCCCTGTAACTTAAAACGTTCTCTTTTTTCCCTTGTAGCTTCCCCCTCCCTTTTACAGGTACCTCTTTTACCCCACCTTCTTCTTTTTACATGAAATTCAGCAGGCATTTTCCACAAGACACTAACTTGCATTCATAATGGTTCTTCAAAAGATACAGTTCAAAGAATGAAATCATAAAAACCAATGCTCTGAAAGAAGCTGTCAGAGGCTGAGTCACTGTCTTATCAGAGTAAAATATAAAATGGCTATAATTACGGTTTAAATAATACACGGCAAGGAAATATCTGCAAGAATTGGACATGCTGTCTCATAATTAATTAAAAAGGTAAAATTAAGACTCTTGCAAAGTGATTAATTATTATTTAAGTAACTGTGTAATGAATGGTATAGCGCTTGACTATGATATACAGATAGATACATTTGATCATAAAATAACTGATGTGGAATGGCTCTTTAATAGCCAAAGTTCACTCATATATCTATGAATGTGATGAGCTATTATGATTAAGCCCTGCTTTTTAAGACTTGTATAACTTTGCTGCATAAATGTAACACTGAAGCTGGGGAGACAAGAAGCAGCAGTTGTTAAGCTAGGCAGAATAATTATGTAAACACTATGTAGATGTACCCAAATCTCAAGGCCAGCCAAATTTCTATTCACTCAAATAAATGAAAAGGACTAGAATTTAAGCTTTACATATGCATAGAGCTTCTTTCTATGCTCTGGAGTAGGCAAACTTTCTGCATAAATATGGCTTCCATCTTGTCTGCAATAAAGCAGTTAATCTAGTCTTGTTATGCCTTGCTGTAAGCAAATTCCTGACTATAGAATTAAGTATCTTCAGAGTCACAATGTATTGGCATGCGAGGTGTGAAGTCTGAGAGTAGTGAAGAAGGAGACAGGAATCTAGATTGATAGATAGTATTTGATCTCTCTTCCCATGTTTCATTTGTAAACCTTATCTCCTATTCAGGTCATTGGTAATCAATAGGCAATCAGACCTTCCTCAATAGTAGAGGAAATGATGGTAAATAAGAAACCCAAGACAATCGGGAAAATATCCACACCAATCAAATCCTCCACTACCAAAGCAATAACCCAATCTTACACTAGAGGAGGTGTTTAAGAACATTATTCAGATGAGCACAAATGCACTGCAGCAACCCAGAACACTGGAAAAAGAAAACAGATCACCTGTACAACATTTTCCAACAAAATAGATATCCATACAACTTTATCAAAAAGTGCTTTACTATAAAACCCACCATAACACAACTAGTATAGCATATGAAAAATAACACTCCCATACATCAAAAATATCTCAGAAATAACTTACTGACTGCCACAATCACTGCAGTACACAAACCAACTGAAACCCTCTAAAGCATTTTAAGCAATCCAAAAAAAGACCTGGTAGCCCAGAAACAATGAAACAGGAGTCATCGAAAACATACAATGAAACATACTGTGTAGGACAGGCAGACAGAAGTCTAGCAGAGCCCATCCACAAACATTAACTAGCAATCAGAAGACATGACAAAAACTCCTTAAACTCACAATGTACTGACAGAATAAAGCACAGTATCAATCAGGAAATGATTAGCATTTTAGATCATGTCAATTCTAAAAATGCCAAAGAAATCCTGGAAGCTTGGTATTCAGGCAAATCTACCATCAACAAATGCGTAGACATAAACCACATTAACATTACATTCAAAGAGACAATAAAAAAACCTAAGAAGGAAACAAAAAGACTAGAACACATCTCCCCCAGCAGGCAGCATTCAAATAAGCAGGAGGTAACACCAGATAATAAAAGAGGCAGAAAACAACACTTTAATTAAGAAACCGCTTAGAAGGAATCTACATCCCCATCAAAACCTGCAGGGCAAGCTACTATATATAAACAGGTCACAACCCCACACTCATTAACTGATGATATTACCTAGTTGTGTAATGAAAGGTCTGCAACCGAATAATCAAACTGAAAGAGCAACAAGAACTCCCCAATCAGATCTGTGTATCTAGATCAAATTCATCACAGTCTGAAAACTCCACAAATGCCAAATCCAGATGCAGGAGTAGAACTTGACATTTGATCAAGACACCAATTCTGCAAAATAAAATAATGACATGGGAATATTATTACAAAGCAGAGAGCATTCATAACACAAAAGGATGAGGATTCAAATGCAAGGTATCAGGGATAACAACAGAAAGTGCAAGATTTATAACTCAAAGAAGAGAGATGGACTATAGTTATAATTAGTCAAGCTCACAATCAGCCTATACTTTTCTGTTTTTTTATTTCTTAAATATTCATGATGGTGTTGGGTTTTATACCTAGATCTCAATGTTTTTAGAATTTTGCTAACTTCGTCTGAAACAACTATGGCATCCTTTCTTGTATTATGAACTGATCTTCAAACTTCCCAGTACTTCTCCCTTCATCATTTGTTCCAGATGAGAGATGACACTTACTCTGGACATTTTCTTGCTCCTCTAGAGCAATCCAGTGAGATATCTCATGGTCACATAAACTAACTCTATTTTCCTACTGCGCTTAAGAGAATGATCAATGAACTTGACATACCGAACTTAAATCAGTTCTGAAAGCAACTCACTGGTGGATTTATGGAACAGAGATGGGGAAGGAACTGTGGCATTGGAATAATACTAACCTTTTTAGATCAATTAAAGACTTGATGGAATCTTTATGAATGAAGAATATCTTTACTAAATGTTTGTATTACCTATCCAAAAAAAACCCCTTACTTAGTCTTTACTAACTTTCACTAGTCCTTCTTTACCCTTTTGTTTGACTTCTGTGGCAATATTCTACAAAAATGGATAAATTAATGCCCAATAGAGGACCATTTATTTTCAAATTCTCTGTAAGCAAATTGATGATACTTAGTTCTATATCTCTACCATGGCTTGGACCAGTCTTGTACTAGTTCATGGAGGCTGCTGGGATCCACACAAAAAGGAATAATCTCACATTAAACCCTAGCAACATGGTGCTGCTGTTCACGTGTAAACATCTTGCCTTCTGTGAAATACAGGATCACACTCCCCTAAAAGACCAGTCTGTGCCCAGGGTATTGTTGGACTGACAACTCCTGCTTATGGTAGCAAATGTGTGCTATGCCTGGGATAAGGAATCCATCTTTACCTGGATTCAAGAGTCTTTGGCAAAAGTGACTGATTCCTTGATGAACACACAACCGGATTACTGCAGTGTGCTCTGTGTGGCACAGCCTTTGATTATGACCTAGATCAGTGGTTCTCAACCTGTGGGTCGGGATCCCATTTGGGGTCGAACGACCATTTCACGGGGGTCGCCAAACAACGCAGTCCACCATTTTTTTCCCCTTTTCCTTAGCTGTGCTACTCCCTTTTATTCTATTGGCTTTTGAAAGCCAATAGGAATTGTCCAGGCTGTCTCTGCCCTGCTGAGCCCGCCAAAAGTCCCATTCTGCAAACGGTGCTGCACCAGTTGAGTAGTCCTCGACTTACGACCGGTTGGGGGTCGCAGCATTAAAAAGGTTGAGAACCGCTGACCTAGATGTTGTAGCTGGTAGAGAATGCAGTGGCCAGATTGCTGGTAAGCAGATCCTGCCATTGCAGAATAAGAATTACTTGAGATGGGTGATTAAAATATTTACCCATATATATTAAATATAAGAAAAAAATACAGTTGCAGAACACTTAATCTTGGGAAAGGGTGATCTGATCCTTGTGCAAAATGAGGTAGTAGAATTCTAGTTTCTTCTACTTCAAGTTCTAGATAAAGATGAAAAAAGACTTTATTAAAATGTAACAGATTATCTTTGTTTATTGAATGTTTTGGACTATCTTACAGGACATCATAAAAGTAATAATAATAACATTATTTTATGCTTCTTTCATCAATTAATGTGATGAGCACCTGCAAGTCTCCTTGTTGCCTATTCTATATCAATTACCAAATCGTTTTTAAAGTGACTACAAGTAAAACACATTAAAAAAAAATAAAAGATACAGTCATTTTTGAGGCCCTGGTATATATCTGAAGGACAATCTAAAGATAAAGAATATACATAAATGAAGAAAACACACGTGATAGTCTAATTCTCTATATCACTTGGCTATCCTTGAGATTAAGAATTTAAGTTAACATTAACCCATAAACTATAACCCATAAATCTCTAAATGATTGGTTTGCAATCTATAGGCTTAATACAAATGGGGAAAATCCACATATGCATAGGAAAAGGGGGTCACTCAACTAGCTCAGTTTTTGTCTGATTCCACTATAAAAACCAAGTCTAAATTTTAAATAGATGCTGTAAACCAGGGGTGTCAAACTGCCAGCCCACAGGCCGGACGTGTCATCTGGAAGCTGCGGCCACCCCATTGCCGGCAATGGCAAAGCTGTCCCAACACGGTACAGTAATCTCATCTGAAGTTTTGTTTTCAACAAGAAAGATAAATAACAAACCATCTGACACAATCCGCCATGATTTTTATTGTATTTCCAACAAAGGAAAAAACACAGGCGTTATTGCTGTGAGCTGCTCAGTGTTGTTGTAGATTAAGTAGGAATCCATATAAATCTAAATAACATAATATAAAATAAAACATGATACTTAGATTTTCACCTTCTGCCAACAATCTGACAGAACCCACAGGAGAACTATCCTAGACCCCAAGGCTCAGTTGGGGGAAGAATGGGTTTCGTGTCTGGGAAAATGGCTCAACTGATTGGCTTCATCCCTGTGCTGCAGATCTCCCCAAATTATCATTCTGTTGCCGATCTGAATATTCTTAAAGTTGACTACATGGAACTCTGCTGGTAAGGCAAGATTTTGAATGACTTCAAAAGGTGGGAAGTGGCAGGAATGGTCATTGATGTAGTATAGGATTCATATTTCATAGACATTCTTTCCTTCCCAAAGTGTTAGAACCTTATAGAACCAAGCATTTTTTTAATTCTTCTTCTTTTCATAATAGAAATATTAGCAGCTACAAATCAATACATTATTGAATTATTAATCAGCCAAATACTCAGTTACAAGACAAATATTTCAACTGTGAATTAGTAGCAGCTAATAAGCCTTCAAGTAATCATTTAACCAATCAATTAATAACTAATTAACTTTCAGGCTAGCACACTCCAATAGATACTGCAAAAATCCTGGTGGCTACTAGATGACAGCTTCTTTAAAAGCAGACAAACCTCTTTAACACTGCTGTCATCTGGCAGCCATTTGTATTTTTGTTGTGCAGATTTGGTAGCACTACTTTAGAGCCTGGTTTATTTAAATTATAATCTAATTCTACCAATATACTAGATTTTAATTTCACATACAAAGCACCCACCACAATCATGCTTCTGGTCTGGCTCTTGCTTGTCCCCCCCCCCCCAAACAGCCTCCATTACAAATCTCTTTAGGGGTTTTTTGATATCCATGTTCATCTAACCCCATGGAAGTCACAATGTTGTCTTCCACAGCTTACTGGAAAGTTCACGTTCAGATTTTCTGAGATTTGGCATTAATTCTTGCTGGTGCCTTCTGTTCATTCCTCTTATTAGCTGTCTGATCTCCATTTCTGGACTTTAATTGACTGAATTGTGACTCCATATTTTGTTTTAGGAAGATGTGTAAGAAGCCAACATTGCTTTGATTTACATTGTAGGTGATAATTATGATAATACGGATGAGTTGCTTCTATTCTCTTTGGTTCAGGGTTTATGTATTTTTGAATAGCCAAGTTTCAGAAAGTCTGTTCTCACAATCAGAAAAGCAGATCTGAGCTTGTTTGAAGATTCTAGCAGGGGAGCACATCTAGCATATATCCTTGAAGCCTAGGCTAAAGCTAGAGTGAAGGATAGGCTGTACAACCCTTTTCCTTCTCCTATGCATATATGGATTTTCCCTGTATGTTATGAGCCTATAGGATTGCAAACCAATCATTTATCGATGTATGAGTTCACCCTTGACTTCTGCATTCTTATCTAGGATGGTGATTCTCTTCTAAGAAATAAGCAACTCAGAAGAGCAGATATTATACCAGCCACAGTTCTCCTACCTTTATTCTATGGCTATGCTGATTCAGATGGTTTGGAGTTGTAATCTCCAACAAAGTTGAGGATAGCTATCTTACTTATGTTGTCATTGTTATATTAGTTTACATACAACCTATCAAACATTTCTGACTGGATTTGGCACTTTTAACTATCAAACTGTTTTCCCAGAAACTGTGATATTCAAAAATATTGTCATAAAAAAATTGTGGTTCCAAGGTCTATGACTTTTTGTAAATGATAGGCAAAGATTCTATTCTTATATGTTCAAGTGCTTCTCCAAGTTCTTTTAGGATAGCACCAAACACACTGATCACTATTGACATTACCATGCTTTTTGTTTTCCACATTCTCTCAATCTCTATCTGAAAATATAAAGTTCTTCAGATAGAGATTGAGCAAATGTTTCATTTTTTCATTTTTCTAGTTCTTTCTCATTGACCTTTCTGTATCCTCCTCCTCCAATGTCAAAGTACCCAAACTTTTTTCTTTGTAACCACAGTATTGCACTATTGTGTGGTTTATTATGGGCTCAAAGTTTATCAGCTTGTATTCCTCCTCCTCCTATATTTTGTATTTACAAGAAATAACACAGCACCAAAAAAAAAAAAAAATCAAATATTTGACTGGTGTTTTTTGGAAAGTTCTAACCCAGAAATTATCCAAGTAATGTCATAAGACATAACATGTGCTCTGCAAAGTCAGTTTTCTGTAAATCTGCAGCTGATACAGCTAGAATAGTAAGTTCTTGTAAAATTTTATTTAATCTACCGTATTGATATTTTGCCTCCTGCATCAATAATTACAGGAATGATTTGCAAGATTTTTTCCATCTCCCTATTTTAATTGTCAAGTCTCTCTGTTTTATATTTTCTCTTCTTCCATCATCCTATGGAAGCAGAACTGAGAATGCAGACACTTGACTTTTTGTGGGCCACAGAAAAACAGTAGTGAATCAGCAATTACTTCGTTAACTTACAATAAAGGTTTTGTAAGAATGAATAAACAATGAGCACTTTGTGTACATAAATTATAGAGCTCCTCTGGAGAGATATTAAATTGAGTTTGATATGTTTTAAATTTGTTTGAGTAAACCTAAAGGTAAACAATAATTTGGTTCTGTAGTTAGTATACAACATCAGTTTTTATATTGCCAATTTTAACCTTGGATGTCATCTACTGTGCTGCTGTTTGAAAACTCTCACGTGAAAATTCTCACTGCTTTTTAACATTCTAATTTCACTTGTGTAGATGTTCCTGTTTCTCTTGTCATTATCAAACCAAGTTATTTCAGAATATAATGAGTCCTGATTTACTACTGACTCAAGTGCAGTAGAATTTCAATGACTTAACTGATTTACACTGTTATTAAGTTATTGGCAAAGTGAAATCCATCAGTAACAAGAAGTATTTTTAAGGCAGTAAGTTCCAATTGCATTAGCTTCTCTCTTTTGGGTAGGGAAGAATAGTTTGTTTGTTCTTAAACAACTTCTTTAAATAGCCCGTGACAATTTCTAAGAAATTGGACGTTTTCCCTTCGGATTATGGCCAATAATACTGTACGTTCTCTGTCATGTCTCCTTCCAGATTCACATGGGTCCATAATGTTTTTCTTTGCCTCTGATTTCTGCCTGCTGATTCAATTCCAACTCTTTTCTAATTTTGTTCTTAAAACCAGCATCCACATATGCATTATTCTGACCTGAACTTCTTAAGATAGAGGACCAAACAAAAACCAGCAACCTAAAACACCCCCCCATAAATATAGCATAAGAAGAAGAACCTTTAATAGGTAATAGAAATGCTAATAAAATAGGTGCCACCCTCAAGACAGTGAATCCCAAAGCATTTAACCTTCTGATAATTCCACTTAGTTCCAATTGAGTTAAAGCAATTTCCATGGCCAGCCGTTTCCACCTTCAATCCTTGAGAACATATTAGATTAAATGTTAAGCAACATTACTTTAGATTGGGTGTTTTAAATGGCTTGAAGAACAGAGTGAAGAAAGCATTATATACCCAAAAAAAATACAGGGAATGTTTTTTATCTGAAGATTGGATTTCAGACTATAATTTTAGATCATCTATTATTTAGTTTTCAAGGTGGCATTTTGAAAACTATCAATATTATGGAGTTCATTGAGAAAGATTTGAGTTCTACAGTTTATACCTACTTCCAGATGGTGAAAAGATGTAGGAAAAAAAAATGAATCCTTCATTGAATCTGACAGCTCACAGAGTTTTCTGTTGTATTTATCATCTTCATCTATTGAAACCGAAATGCAAGTATTCTGCATACTTTTCCTTTAGACGTTTAGATTGAAGCTAAAATATGATGACATATTTATTCTGCTGAAGTATTAAGATGATGAACAGCAAGATACCTGAAGTTCTATAAAATTAGAACTGAAGCACTACAAGAAAGAAGACTGATTACATGCAGTTTAATTTTGAAGGCTGAATAATACATTTTGGGAAGTAACAGGCATTATAAACATTTTAAGGGATATTCAAACTCTCCTTCTACCAAAGCAGAAATTTCATTCAGTTAATAATGGCTTTTTGACCCTGCTGAAAATTGAACTATTCATCTTGGGTTATAGAAAAACCTCTGAATTCCCCACATATGGAAACATGAAATCCCTCAATAATTTTACTAGTTTTTTAAAAAAAATTATAAAATATCACAGTTATTTAGCCTGAAGAGAAAACCTCATAAACATGAAATGTCATATTACAGTAGATGGAATTTCACTGAATTTACAACATACTTATAAAAATTTAAGTTGCCCTTTTTGTAGAAAATATTTAGAGTGGGTAAAGGATAACAATATTTATTACTACTGAAGATGTGCATTTTTCAATGTTGCTATTTTGAATTCTTCGCATTTGTATTTTCCAAATATATGGGATCAAAGGCATGGAGTCTAAAACATATGAAGAATGACTGCAGGACTTGGGTTTGGCTAGTCCAGGGGTAGGCAACCCAAAACACTCAAAAAGCCACTTGGACTCGTTTCCCACCGAAAACAAAACACTGGGAGCCGCAAAACACTTTTGATAACACTGCATATATCCTTTTTTACCTTTTGTGTGTGTGTGTGTGTGTGTGTGTGTGTGTGTGTGTGCATAAAATAAAAAAGGATATATGCAGTGTTATCTTCATTTTAGATGTCAAAAGGGTCTCTCTCTGTTTCTCTCTCTTTCCTCTCTCCCTCTCCCTCTTTCCTCTCTCTCTCTCTCTTTCCCTTTCCTCTCTTTTTCTCTCTTTCCTCTTCCTCTTCCTCTCCTTCTTTCTCTTTCCTCTCTCTCCCTCTTTCCTCTCTTTTTCTCTTTCCTCTCCCCCTCTTTCTCTCTTTCCTCTTCCTCTCCCTCTCATCTTCTTTCTTTCCTCTTTCTCCCTCTTTCCTCTCCCCCTTTTTCTCTCTCTCTTTCCTCTCCCTCTTTCTCTCCCTCTTTCTCTCCCCCTCTTTTTTCTCTCTCTCTTTTTCCTCTCCTTTTTCTTTCTTTCCTCTCCCTCTTTCTCTCCCTCTTTCTCTCCCCCTTTCTCTCTCTCTTTTTCCTCTCCTCTTTTTCTTTCTTTCCTCTCACTCTTTCTCTTTCTCTCATTCTTTCTCTTTCCTCTCTTTTTCTCTTTCCCCTCTCTCTCTTTTCTTTCCTCTCTCTTTCCTCTCTCTCTTTCTCTCACTCTCTCTTTCCTCTCTCTCTTTCCTCTCTCTTTCTCTTTCTCTCTTTCTCTCTCTTTCTTTTCTCTTTCCTCTCTCTCTGTCTCTCTTTCCTCTCTCGTTCTCTCACTCTTTCCTCTCTTTCCCCCTCTCTCTCTTTCCTCTCTTTCCTCTCTCTCTTTCTCTTTCCTCTCTCTCTTTCTCTTTCCACTCTCTCTACTTCCTCTCTTTCTCTTTCTCTCTTTCTCAACATTTCCTGCCATGAGATCACATTTGTCCTAATTCTGAGTTTATTAAAATATTTTTTCTGAAGTCCAAGGTATACATTCATCTGTACTCAATTTTTGTTTAACTTAAAATCAATAATTCTAGCATTACACAATCACTTTCTCCTAACATACCTGCTATGTTCCTTTGCAAGACTAACTTTTAATTATTGGTTAATATCAATGCAAGAACAGCTGATACTTTTGTGCCTTCCTTTGCCTTCTTGAGAAAATATATACAGTACTCACATGCAGCTTTTGAGTCAGTCTTGAGTCCTGGAAACTGCCTACAGAATTCCCTGCAGTTTTATTGGTAGGATCTGGAAGTAGTTTATCATTTCCTCCTTCCTAGGGCTGAGACAGAGTGACTGGCTTGTCCATTATTATTATTACTTCATGCCTAATTAAACAATCTTTACTTTTGTTTCTGAAAGTATAATCCAAGGCAGGTGATCCTAGACACCACTGATTTTATTCATTCCTCCAGTTATTTTAATTTACAGACCTTGTCACATTCATTCACTTGAATTTCTGATCAGGCATGCATACTTTCATCATGAAGTAGGATTTCTGCATCCCACCCCACCCTCATAAGACAAGGCCTATTCCAATGTTAAACTTGGCTACAGGGTTATACAACTGCCACACATGGGCCAGTCAGACCATATATCCATGCTTTTATTACCAGCATATATTCCTCTTAGGAAACGGGCTCCGGCCACGATAAAGACTGTGAAATCCTGGCCTGATGGCACCTCTCAACCACTGCAGGACTGTTTTGAGAGGACAAACTGGGACATCTTCAACCACCCAGACCTAGAGGAGTTCACTGCAGCTGTTCTGGGCTATATTAAATACTGCATAGACACTGTTACTGTGGACAAACAAATCCGGATTTATCCCAACCAGAAATCTTGGATGACTAAGGAAGTCCAGCGTCTCCTGCATGACAGAAACAATGTCTTTAGGTCTGATGATGGGGAAAAATATAGTGCTGCCAGAGCTACTCTGAAGACAGGCTTTCGGCAGGTCAAGGCAGATTATAAGAGGAAGATTGAAGATTCTGTTCGTAAAAATGATGTGAGGCAGATGTGGCAGGGGATCCAACAAATCACCAACTATAGACCCAATTACATCACTCCTGTTGACAGAGAAGCTTCATTGGCAGAGGAGCTGAATCATTTCTTTGCCTGCTTCAAAATGAAGCCATCAGAGACAGCTGTGCTACAGTCACTAGTGACTAGTCCACCACAGCCCTCCCCTCACTGTGGAGGAGCATGAGGTGAGGAGTATCTTGAGAGCTGTGAACTCAAGGAAGGCTGCTGGACCTGACTGCATTTCTGGCCAGATGCTTAAAGACCGCACAGACCAGTTGGCTGGGGTCTTTACCAAGATTTTTAATCGGTCTCTATCCCAGTCCACTATTCCATCCTGTCTGAAGGCCTCCATCATTGTTCCATTACCAAAGAATCCTTTATTAACAGTCTCAGTGATTACAGATCATGGCACTCACCCCTATTATCATTATCATGAAGTGTTTTGAAAAACTGGTCTGCAGTGTGTTGAGCCCCCTACTTTACATCCTGTGTGTTGAGCCCCCTACTTTACATCCTGTACACTTATGACTGCACCCCCAGTCATCCCAGCAATATTATTGTTAAATCTGCGGATGATACAAGTGGGGCTTGTCTCCAAGGGGGATGAGTCTGCCTACCAGGATGAGGTGTAGCGGTTGCTCTTGTGGTGCAGAGACAATAATTTGGTTCTCAACACAACTAAGACTAAGGAACTTATAGTAGATTACAGGAGGAATAGATCAGACATTCAGCCCCTGATCATCAGCGGAGACTGTGTAGAGCGGGTGGCAATCTTTAGGTTTCTGGGTATTACCATGAAGGAGGACCTGACCTGGAATGCTCATATTATAGCATTGGTTAAAAAGGCCCAGCAGAGACAATATTTTTTGAGACTTCTCAGGAAACAACAACTGAATGAAAAACTGCTGGTGACCTTCTACCATTGCTCCATAGAAAGCATTCTAACCTATTGCATTTGTGTGTAGTTTGCTTGCTACACAGTAGCAGATAGGAAAGCTCTCCAGAGAGTCATTACCATTGCCCAGAGGATTATTGGCTGCCCTCTCGTCTACACAGGATTATTGGCTGCCCTCTCGTCTACACACACACACACACACACACACACACACACACACACACACACGATGAACTATACAGTTCCTGTTGTCTTAAGAAAACTCAAAATATTTTTAAAAACTCATCTCATCCGGGACATTCTTTTTTTGAACTATCTGGCAAACGGTACAGGATAATAAAAGCAAAGACAAATAGGCTGAAAAATAGTTTTTATCCCAGAGCTGTAACCATATTAAAGACCACAGTATAGTGCAACATTGAAGTGCAATATTAGGGGCAGCGCAATGGTGAATAGAATGTGAAGGATGTGTGTATACAATATTAACCTTCCTATCTAAGAGTTCAGCTCATCTTGTTTATTTCTCATATTCGGAGCATTAGTTTATAAGTCAAGGCCATGAACTTTATGAGCCAATTTTTTTGCTGATTTTTTTTTTACTGGGTGGTTTAATAGGCTTCATTACATCAATATTCCCATTTCCTTTTCCATCACAGAAAGCTTCATCTGAGATTCTGTCTAATTAGTTCTAAAAACCTAGAAATAAGTACTCACTATAGAGCTGCCTTACTGGTGTTGACCATGAAGACAGCAGATGTTAAATGAAGAAAATTACATGCATCATCTACTTTTGTTTAATTGTTATTATATTGAACATTCTTGCATGCATTTATTAATTCCATTGTATTTTATTTATATAATTGCATCAATCAGTTTCACTGCCTGAAAACTTTGGTGGGATAAAAGGTGATTAAGAAAATATTTGAATAATAAAAAATAAACCATAGCATAATATTATATCATATTTACATCAGAAGACTCCAGTTCCAATTATGGAAGAGATAACAGATGTAAATGAGATTCTGCTCATTTGGTCAAGCCATCTAGAGGAGGCTTGATGAAAATGGTTATATAGTCACAGAAGGTAGGTAGGTAGGTAGGTAGGTAGGTAGATAGGAAGGAAGGAAGGAAGGAAGGAAGGAAGGAAGGAAGGAAGGAAGGAAGGAAGGAAGGAAGGAAGGAAGGAAGGTTCCATCAGACCCCTTTAAATTGTAATTGTAAAATAATGGAAACATTTGTAAAAAAAATCAGGAACATTTGTAGAAAAATATATTCAGGACCTGATTCCATTAGATACTGAGGCATGTTAGTTATCAAGTAAAAAAACCTAGGTGCAGATATCCTTTCAACTGTTTAAATCTGCACTGGAGGCAGCTACGGTATTAACAGCTTTATGACAATAAATATGGAATAAGTCTTTGAGGAAAGAATGATGTACATATCTCTTAGCCAATAAGGAAGATTCAAGAGAGCAAGCAAATGATCAAACCCTTGTAATTGCTGAAGATCTTGCAAAGAAATAGTAGAGCCATACATGAAAAGAAAGATGCTACATTTTTCAGAAAAGGCAAAAGGATACAAGATGAAATGGTTAAAATAAAACAGATAATAAAGCAAGAGAATACTAGAGATAATTTTTGCTTCACTGATTGTAACAAAGTCTTGGTGTAGACTGTAGATCATGTCCAAATGTGGAATATATAAGGGTGTCCGCAGATTAAAAAAAATGACAGAGCTTCAATCAAACATCTTAAAGGGTTTTGTTTTTTTTAAAAGTTTCTTGAAATATATTAAGCTAATGGGTGTGCCAAAACATCTGTTTTTCTCAGGAATCTTTTCAAGGAACAAGAATCTATTGAAAATCAGCACTGATGCTTTGCATTCCTTTATATTCCTGCTCCCTAACCCAGGAAATCCTGATGGAGGCCTTTTTCTCATTCCAAGCCATCAGGAAAACAGCAAAAGTTATACAACTTTGCCCTGGGTCAACCAGTGATTCTGCTGAGCTCCTAATCCTGGCAAGACCAAGGGGTTCTGGATTTTAAGCCCTCCCCTAGCCTCAAAAAGCAGGCAACACTTGACTAGGGGAATATTTGCATAGTTTGGACCATTATACCAATATAACACTACTGTTCCATGAGCTGCACTGACCCCAGGCAGCTTTTGAGTGAGATTCAAGGTGCTGGTTATAAAGCCCTAAATGATACAGGGGCAGCTAGGCTATTTACAGGATCACTTCCATTCTTTCTGCTTGCAACGCCACACACACACACACCCCCCCCAATCTAGCAGAGAGAACATGCTTCAGGTTCCTTCCATCAAATAACTTGATTTTATTGGAACCAGGGACTAATTTGTGCATCTGATCTGAAACTTCAGTCCAGGGGAGCCACATTGTTTATTTAGAAATGGGGCTACTTTGATGAAAAGGGTTTTGAAATTTATCACTATGGATAGCCTTTATAGGTATATTATAATCTGCATGGTCAATGAAGGACAGGAAGTAGAATGCCTAAGAGGGAGGTAAAGACGAGATAAAAACGAGGGAGGAAGGCAATGGTAAATTTATGCAAAATTAAAATGGATAAGAATATGTCTATGAAAACAGAATAGTTAAAGCAATGCTATATCCAGTGGTAAAACTCACAGCTATGAGTTGGACATTGAAAAAAGTGAGAGAAATTCTTTTACGATTATGGATTTCTAGATCATCAATAGGTGCATCACGGACTAAAAGAAGAACCAGTAAAATAAAGGCCAAGTAGAAGTGGTTTTCTTTGAGACAGAAACTTAATTTAGGAGTTTAGAAAAAAATATTAGGCTTGACAAAAAAGGGAAAGAAAAGGGTGAATCAAAGAGCATACTGGAATATGAGAAATATGAGTTAAGACAAGATGGAAAGCAATTATTTTTATAGGCACAAGGCTCTGAGTCCTACTTCATGGCATCTGAATAACATGACCAAAAGTCTGCTGTCTAAAACCCTTAATAGTATAAAGGGTTTTTTTTAAAAAAAAAACTGGTTTAGTAATAACAATATATAGACACACAAGGGGGGGGAGGGAGAGAGAGAGAGAGAATGAGAATGTCTATATCAGGAAGCAATAGTTGAAATTTCTTTTCTGCTTGTCTTCATTCATTGCAAATTGCCTTCTGCCCTGAGCTTCCTCTGCTCCTTTCTTCCTGTCACATTAGAAATAAGCTAGCAAAATGAGGGAAATCCTCCTTTTCCCTACTGAAAATTTTGCTCCTATGTGCCTCTTAAGTTATGGAACACAAAATGCAAAATTAAGACAGCACAGTTTTTCACTGAATGTTCCCAAAAGCTTTGGCTGCCAGAAACCACTAAA